CTATCTATCTATCTATCTATCTATCTATCTATCTATCTATCTATCTAATCCATCCATCCATCCATCCATCCATCCATCTATTTATCTATAAATAAAACTGTGGGTGAAATGTACACTTCAGTGAGAACAATGCAGGCCCAAACAATATAAAAGTCTAGCAAATCTAATTGCAGAAATTACTTTGGCCAATTTTTAGACCCTGAGAATACAGGGTATCTGCAAACTAACCATCATAATACTTTTTGAAAGGCTTAAATAAAAAACAGGAGTAGAAATTGCTGGCGAAGAAAAAACCCTTTAAGTATTACGTACTATCAAGTCAATGCACGAAAGTACTATACTTTATTTGGAGTTGTCTTTTATTTTTTTTTCCAAAGAATTGAATACTTTATTCTCAAGAATTCATTTTTTTAAAATACAAGAGATGTTTCTAAATTCTATTTATTAAATAGAAATTAGCACTTACTTTGAAGCTCAGCATCCAACTTGGAGAGAAACTCTATATTAAATATAGCCGTTATCACATTCTGTGGAAAATACCCAGAAGAAGCCAATGCGAAACCAAGTAATACAAGGAGAGAAGGCTCAAAATGTTCTGTACAAAATAAAAATATGAATGCATGCTATTAAAAACCTTATTTTTCTAAAAGTAGTACAGCAGATACCAGGTTTCCCCGAAATAAAACAGGGTCTTATTTTCGTTTGCCCCACGAAATATGGCCTTGGGCTTATTATAGGGGGAGGGCTTATTGTTTTGGGGTTGCCAGGAAGCTGCTCCCTTGCGAGCGGGCTCCCGAAGAGCCGGGCACAGCCACAGGGGCGAAGCAGCCTGCATGTCTCCCAGCCTCACCATACCCCGGCCCAGCTCTCCCTGCAGGGCCAGGGCACTGCCACCGCTGCCGCGCTCTGAGCATAACTTCTTGTCCAGCTTCCAAACTCCAAAACTCGGCTGCCGAGTCTTCCAGCGCGGGCGCTTTAGGAGTGCGCTCTATGGTTGTGGGCCAGCTGCCGGACAGAGTCTTCCAGCAACCAGCCCACAACCATAGAGCACACTCCTAGAGCGGCCGCTGCTGGAAGACACGGCAGCCGAGTTTTGGAGTTTGGAAGCCAGAGAAGAAGTTATGCTTGGAGCACGGCCGTGGCGGCGCCCTGGCCCTGCAGGAAGAGCTGGGCCAGGGCATGGTGATGGGGGTGGAACAGGTGCTCGCGCAACCCCCTTCTCCAGCTGGGCAGAGCTCCATGCACTGACCTAGGGGGTATCTCTAATGTGCCGAGCCCCAGGAGCTGGGGAGTGGGCAAAGCGCCATGTGGCTTGGTGCCTTAGGGATACCCCATAGGTCAGTGAAGGGTGCTCTGCCCGGCTGGAGAGGGGGTTTGCTGGACGGNACCCCTGATCTAAATAAATCAAATTCTGCTTGGCTGGCCTTGCATATGCAAGGCAACTAATAATAAAAATAAATCTTGTGTTATAAATAATTATGAATGGCGGTTCAAACTGAATCAATAGCAGTGAAGCTTTCCAATGAATCTATTCCATGGCTCAAGAGTTATATGAGAAAGCTCTTCCCTGAATCGGCCTTCAGCTACCTTTCATTCCTGGAGAAGTTTATAACAAAAGAGGAGTCCTTCATGTCAGGTCAGAAGACATTTAGTACGTTAGCAGTGCAAATACATACCTTAAATTGTGGCCAACATCAGATATCAACTATTGCAAGTCTTCCAACATGAGAATAATAGATTGGGTACTCGGTAGCAGCCTAGTTATTAGATTTTGCAACAAAAGCAACTTCTAAGCACTCCTCAAGGATAGGCTCATGTGCTGTGTAGCCCGGTGGTCAATTTTTATAACTACGGCTTAGATAATTTGCTAGGCCAAAAATGGTCACACCTTGTGCAAGAAATGTAAATTGTGCAATGCACTTTGCCCTCTGCAATTCCAAATGCGAAATCTCCAGATGCAACATAGTCTTCATTAAAAAAAAAAGTTTATTGAAGGCTAAAAATAATTAATTTTCAATGTTACAGTCCGTATAAAAATTGTTATTTTTTTCTCCATACTAGGATATCAAAGCTTTTCAAATATTTTCTTTTCTAAATATTCAGTCTTTGCTTCCGTGGATGACAATCCCATGGAATTCCATTCATAGTGAGGGATCTGAAAGAGAAGTATATGATTAAAATGGGAGTCCATTATTAAAAATGTTATTCATATTTCATCCCTTCCACTTTCCTCAAATGTATTATTTACATGGGTACTTTAAAGTTGGTTGCTGCCTTTGGGTGCATATTTATTCTAAGAAAAAATATGCAGAAAATTCTGAAATGTTATTCAACTTTTTTAAAACAGAGGAGACACCATACCTGAACAACTTGATAACCAAGAATCTCTAAATGCCGCTTTTTCATGGCAATATATCCTTTGACGTGATTTGAATTTTTGCAGAAAGCTTCTGAATCAAGGAATTCCACAGCAATCCTGAATTAAATAAAACTTCAAATTTATTTTCATATAACCAAAAAAATACAGCTTGCAAGTATTTTATAATCACTTTATGTACTCATGACACCTGTTGTTTTAATAAAAACCCAAAGGTTTTTCTACAGTTATAATTGTAATTCTATTAATTATACATAATTATACCACTGAACTGCCATTAAAATTTAGCATCTGATTAAGACTTCTGAATTAATTGTTACAATAATTTAGCTGTAATGCCACTTTTTACAACACAGGAAAAGTTATATTTATCTATAGCTGGCTTCAGTATTATCTCTCATCTTTAAAAAATTCATCACTGGAATTTAAAATACCTGTTGTACGGAGTAGAAATGTAATTATATCAAACATATTGCAAGTTGCTTTAAACCAAAATAAGAATACGGTTAAATTCTAAACCCTAAATTACTTCTTGCCTGAAATTTTGGTGTGGTTCCCTGCAATTCTCTGGCATTAAATAGAACACAAAGTTGTTTTAGAATTATCTTTATGGACCAACTGTTCAGAAGGTACCTATATTATTTTTTGTAATTTTATTGGCCATTAGATTATTTTTATTTCATATATAAAAACTCACTAGTGCATCATTGTTCTGTAAGATTTGATTCTGCTATGAATTTTATGTAAGTGATAGACCTATGGGTATCTGTTCAGTTTAGAGTACATATTTATTTATTTATTTATTAGACTTACATACCGCTTCATAGGGCTTTCAGCCCTCTCTAAGCGGTTTACAAATTTTTTTAGCAAATTGAGTCAG